GATGGGCCTGTAGTTTACCGGATCTACTTTCCTCCCTTTCTTGAAGATTGGCACGACATTGGCCCTCTTCCAATCATCGGGCACTTCACCAGAGCACCAGGAGCTCTCGAAGACCCGAGCCGGCACTGGGCTATGATGCTCGCCAGCTCCTCGAGTACCCTGGGGTGTAACCCATCAGGGCTGGCTGACTTGAAAGTATCCAGCCTGTCGACCTGTTCCTTCACCTTCATCTGCTCTTACTCTTTCATGCTGGGCGTACCGAATAATAGGGAATCTCGTGACGCAGGCCTTTGTAAACCATCCTATACGGTTGTGTTAATTTTTCATTCCTTGAAAACACTTTGGGAGTGCATGTGTTATTGCACTCAAGTGACTGCTATGGTGTATTGCTCATCTAAGCAGCGCTTTGTCTTCTTCACTGATAGACATTTGCCACTATTGTAAATGAGCCCCCTTGCAAACACTACTGAAATGCTCCTCGTGCTCCCCTGCTATCCTCCAGATAAAAAAAAAAAATACACACTTCTTCTACTCACCAGTAGGTGCTTCTGCAATCAGTGGGAACGAATGGGCAGATAATGGGAATGGCATGTTTATTACAAGTCTGTTTTGTATTAGCAAGCGTTTGTGCGCCACGTTTAACCTCAAACACACGACGCAGAAGTAGTGCCTGTATCCAGTGGCGTTTCTTTCTTTGCCCCGAGCATGTGACAAGCTTGTCCATGTTATATATTTGCACTGTTCACAGGCTTTCCACTAAAAAACAGTCATTACTTCAATTTCTTGGCATTGATTTGGGGGGCTGAAATCAACCTGGTCCTTTGTCAGCTGATGGTAACCTGACCAAGCCCCGGAGCCCTGGTATGATGCGGCTGCTTTAATTACTTAGCCTCACAGTTATTCTCATGCAAACTGACAGTATAGGGTTACAGCCTCTTGGAGCTCTGACCCGGGCAGCGGGGGCAGGCGCACACGAGATTACGTGAATGTTCCTGCAGTTATATCGGGAAGAAGAAAGGCATCCTGGGCCTTCCACCCCCCCACCCCCCCGGTTTTGCGCGGCT